CGTTGCTTCTCTGTTCCTTTTGGCTCTCTGAGCACTGCCAGTCTGCTGCTCAACTCAGGGTCTGTGTCTGGCTCAGCTGCTGCAAAAACTGTCCCTCAGCATACAGCTTGCTTTGCTTGGGCTGTCTCTCAGCTCTCTGTCTTTGCAGGACCTCTTCTGCACACAGCTTGTTTGTTCAGAGAGAGAGCCAGAACAATCCCAGCTCACAGGGAGGACGGGGCCTGGCCTCTCACTGTCCTCACTGGCCTGTCCAACCTGTCAATCAGGCTGAGCTGGAGTGTTGGCTGCTTTCCATTGTCTCTGGGGTCAGTCAGTCTCATGAACTCTTCCCCTTCAGATACTGCGAGTTGGCAAACCAAAAACTCCCACAGAGTTTTAGTAACGGGTAACAGTCCCCTTACATCTATCCACTCATCAACACCCTCATAGGACCTACCCACATAAGCCACAGCATCTGGGGTTCATACAACTGCACATCTTCTAATGTGATCTATGCCATCATGTGCCAGCAATGCTCCTCTGCTATGTATATTGGCCAAGCTGGACAGTCTCTATGACCAAGGATAAATGGACACGTCAGACATCAAAAATGGTAACACACAGAAATCGGTAGGGGAACATTTTAACCTGCTTGGGCTCTCATTAAGGGTACATCTGCACTGCATACTGGAAGTATCCTGAAAAAGCTATTCCATGTGTATTAAACAGCCCGTTATTTCAAAACAGATTTCAAAATAGATTTTGAAATAACGGGTGGCTTATTCTGACGTCCTGGTAACCCTTGTTCCACGAGAGTTAATGGGAATTTTGGAATAGTGAGTTATTTTGTAATTTGGCACTGTGTAGACAGCACCAAATTACAAAATAAAATATTTTGAAATACACTCGAAATAAGCTACACAATTAAAATTAAAAGGCTATACGTTTGGCTCTACTAAATTCACAGTCTGTTTTGATCAATTTTGCAATCCTATAATTTTATAAATCTTAAATGTCATGATTTCAGCTATTTTAAATCTGAAACTTCAGTGTTATAATTGTAGGAGTTGCAATCCAAAAAAGGACTTGGGGGAGGGAGGAAAGTCACAAGGTCATTCTAGGGAGAGTTGCTATACTGCTGCCTTTACTTCTGTGCTGCTGCTGGCAGTATCACTACCTTCACAGCTGAGCAGGTGGAGAGTGGTAGCTGCTGGCCAGGAAACCATTTTTGAGTGTTGCCATCCTTACTTCTGCACTGCTGCCTGCATAGGTAATCCCTCAGTCAGTAGTCACTGCTCTCCGGGGTCCCAGCTCTGAAGACAGCAGCGCAGAAGAAAAGGTGACATGGTATTGCCATTCTTATTTCTACACTGCTGCTGGTGACCACTACCTTCAGAGCTGGGAACCTGGCCAACAACTACTGCTTTCTGGTAGCTCAGCTCTGAAGGCAGCACAGAAGTAAGGATGATGATACCATATCTCTCTCTAAAATAACCTTGTGAACCCCAGCCCCGCAACTCTCTTTTGGGCCAGGACCTTCAGTTTGAGAAATGCTGGGTAAAAGCACACAAAAGACAACATTTCAAGGAGGGAGACCAGAGTTTACAATCTGTGGTGCATTTTTTCTGGCCATGTGTTTAGTAGGGCCCTAGTTTAGTTAATTAACATTTTTAAAGATCTTTAAACATGGAAATAGCTATACAATTGGGCAAATTAAAATACCACTATTCACCATTGGTAACCATGTTTTACCAAATCAGACACAATTTTTTATCCTCCAGTTTTTCATATACAGGCAGTCCCCGGGTTACGTACAAGATAGGGACTGTAGGTTTGTTCTTAAGTTGAATCTGTATGTAAGTCGGAACTGGCATCAGCCGCTGCTGAAACTGATCAGTTTCAACAGCTGCTGAATCTGGACACCAGTTCCACTTACATACAGATTCAAGGTAAGAACACCAGGCGTCCCCAAGTCAGCTGCTGCTGAAACTGATCAGCAGCTGATTCCAGGAAGCCCAGGGCAGAGCAACTCTGCCTCGGGCTTCCTGTA